AGGTGCAATGGCACCTGAATAATTTACATACGAATAGATAGCAATTATCTGCTAATCTACGAAAAGCAGATAATTTATCATTGTTTGGCGTACCACATGTAGTAGGTCTGTTTTGGTACACCCTCAGCTTTAGTTGCATATACATTTTGCAATAGTAATAAATATATCCCAACAAATGCTTTGTATGTGACGGTCACCTGGGTAATTCAGGTCAAGTGTGTGATCATTTAAGCGCGCCCTCTATTGTTATAATTCGAGTAAAGCCTAAAGTGTATTTTTGACTAATGTGTCATTCGTTATTAAACCGGTTGATTGATACATGCCACTTGTCTTCACTGTGTTGTATGCCTTGCATGGTACCGAAGTCATCTGCGACGGTAGACCTGTCAGCCCTAGGATTATTATTTGTTTTCCTCCCATTTATAGTCCCTTTTAGTCGGTGCTGGGAAGTGAGAAGGTTACATTCACAATATATAAATTTTATGCATGCACTATATAGTCTGCATTATAAAATATAAACTTGACATTCATTCAGCATATAAATACGGTCATTACCAAAAATATACATTGAATTTTCTTTCTAAACTTCCGGTAAATGTTCAAGGTGTCACAAAAATGTGTTTTCATATTATTATTCATATACTGCATGATATTCCATAGTTGCCTTAAACCTAATATACATCTATTTTCTTCAAGTTTTATTTTATAGAAGTTACATGGCTCCTAAAATCAATCCAGACCATACACCAGATGGTGGATGGGGGTGGGTAATTGTGTTCAGTGCATTAGTGATACAAATGATAGCCGCTGGATCACAACTGACAACCGGATTACTATTTTTGACTTTAAAAAACTATTTTGGCGAGAGTGCTGCGACCACAGCGTGGGTGCTTTCTTTGTCCAACTCTGTTCTTTTGTTATCAGGTAAGAACATATGGATATCCAATACATACCGGGTCTAGAGGTCACCATAATGTATCTGTATACCAAGTGTCATTCCCTAATGAGTGATTACCTATCTCGTATTGCCCGAGCCAAATTATTATTGGTACTACAAAATTATTCACACTTTATATTGCAGGTCCACTTGGAACTTACCTATCAAGCAGACTAGGTGTCCGACCAACCGTCTTCATCGGAGGATTGATGTCAACAATAGGATTTTTCTTAGGATCGTTTGCTCCAAA